AGGCAAAATTCTTTTACTTTTAATTAATATTTCAGCAGAAAAGTTTACTAATAAAATTGTTTTCAATAGGATTTTTAATTTTTGATAAAAGCGAAAATCTAAAATGAATCTTGATCATAACTTCGTATCCACTGAAAAAATTCACTGCTCACAACTAATTTCGCACAAATTGCAATCAAATTTTTCCTGCGTCAGTCAAAGGAAGAACAAAAGGCATTTTGTGAGTAAGGTTACAATCATCAATTAAAACTTTCCAGCAAAAGTTACTGATTTGAGTACAACAACAATATTTATAAGCGGCAATATGGAAAGTCGAGAAATGGATGTAAATGCGAAGCGAGGACAGAAAACCTCAGAATGGCCAGTGGTTATCATATCTCAGGATAGTTGTCCCAACGGTGTCGTCTTATGCGGAAGTTCGCTGTTTCTTCTTTGCTCTATCATAGTTTTGAGGGCCAGCCCTAATCAAAGCATTTTGTTATATATATGCAAAACGAAAAAAAAAAAAACGCAACGCGTAAAAGTGGGTTTTAGCCCCATGTCTCCCTTAGGATTCACGCAACGTTTTAACTGAAAAGACGACTTGCAGAAGAAGCAACCATTTGGAAAGATGCTAAACCGGAGTCTTTTTATTTGAATGGCATTACGTCGTTGACAACCCCAAACACACCATCCGGATTCATTGAACGTTAGTTCAACTGATTAGTTTTCAAAACAGAAGCACGGCTGCATTTAGAAAAAAAAAATAAATAAAGGGGGAGGGTTTCGTTGAAGTAAGTCTGGAGTCCGAAAACAATTCCCGGAGCTGGAATACTTCCAATCCATCACCTTACCATCCTTCTACTAAATTTTTTGCTTCTTGGTGCAATTTAAAGCTAGGTGCCGTTTTAGTAAATGTATTTCTTCAACCATCCACCCGCCACTGTAACGTAAGAATCCCGATAAAGAGGCGAGGGCCGTTCTTTTTCGAGTTTGTTACTGCTGTCTGTTTGTGGCTGGCATTTTTTTTTTCACCCTGCTCCCGAAAAAATGTTGGATATAGATTATTCAAATAAAAAAATAAAATTCAGGAAAATGGGAGTGTCAGCTCGCTCACTCGTACTTTCTGGCTACGCAACACCTGAGAAGTGCCATGTTATAAATGTTTTTGGCTGTGTGATGCACGATGGCCTATACAGTTAGAAGATGAGAAGTGAGAAGCTGA